GGAGAGCCCTTGGGGCGGCCATGGCCGCCTCCCCCTCCCCGCAGCCTCCCTTAAATACTATGGGGCGGCCGTAGCTGCGGCGGGCGCCGCTACGGAGCGCACCATGCGGGCTGTCGTCGCCTTGGCCGCGGCGCTGGGCAGCCTGCTGCTCGGCGGCTGCCTCCTGCGCCTGGGCGGCCAGCAGCCCCTCCGCGCCAGGTAGGGCGGCCGGGGCGGGGGGGGCCCTCGCCCGCTGCGGTGGGGCTGCGGGGCGGGAGTGCCTGGAGCCGGCTGGGGAAGCGGGAGCGGGACGTGGCGAGCCCCCCGCCGCCCTCCGCCGGGAGAGGGGCGCGGCGGCCCCCCGGCGCAGGCTGGGCTCGGCTCCCTTGTTCGCGGCGTGCGAACGATTCGCGGGGAGGAGACCGGCGCCGCTCACGCCTGGTGATGCTTAACCGCTGGTTCTGACAACTTTGTTTTCCCGTCTTGCTTGCCAGGGGCTGGGAGGAGGACGCGGGAGTAGCTACTGTCACGCCGAAAGTGGTGCGAGCCCTCAGGTCCCCCCTAACGTCCCTTCCTCAGACCGAGAACAGGTACGGGCTGCCCGCCTTCGCGGACGGGTCGTGTGGAAGGGGCTACAGAAGCAGAAATTTGCCTTCGCTCCCATTCATTCTTCCTTTTGTTTTGGCAGCTTAATCAGAGAGAGCGTTGGAGACTCACTAGACGGAGAAAATGGAAATTCACTTTAACTGTAATAAATTGTTTGTTCATAGGCCCTCTTAGTGACAGCTGTCACGCTGCCCTTAGTTTTGAGCCCAATAAAATGTTGCGTATAGCAGTTTTGTTAATGTACGATGCATAAAGTCCTCGCTGAATGGCATGTTCCAGGTATCTTTTATTCTTCTTTCCAGGAGGGTGGAGCTGGAGCTGGGTTGTATTGTTACCGTTTTTGTAATGTGTATTTAGTTAAAAATACAGATTTCTCCTTTAAAATCCATAGGATGAAGGCGAGACGTATGAAGCCTTTTTCATGTTGTGTAGCATCTTACTGCGTGGGAGCCCTTTTGCTTGATCCAGTGTTTTGATCTTCTAGATCAGTGTAGATCTTTGCTTTACAGCCTGTTATTTTATACTGTGGAGTTTAATATGAAAATAGTTGGCAAAATGAACTGTAAAACAAGTCGTGTCTTATGTGCAGGCTTCAGTATTAATGACTGTGTTTTCATGCTCTTGAGTCTTCACACGCTGTAGGAAAACTAACAGTGCAGAAGAGGGTGGTGTAATCCACACATGAGATACTACTATGTAAGAAGTAGTTTGCAAATATTTTTGCTATTCTCTTTTACGTTATATGGCCTCATTAACATTGCAGTTCCAATGATTATTACATGTTAATATATATTATGGTTCAAAACACATGATAAAAATTAGAACATGGGAATTTGGTCTTTAATGGGAACTGTGATGTCCTGGTTATATTGAAGTCCACGGTGACAATGCAGTTAACCTTACTGAGGCCACCATCTCACCCAATCTAACTGAATTTGAGGTTGAAACAACATAAGCTTTTCCTAAGTGAATGCAAGTGACGTTAGTCATAGTAGCCATTGCAGTGTACCCTAACAGTAGGTTTCTTACATGTTTCCGATGAGAGAACCTTGTGCTCCCTGTCTCAAAATTTAGAACTTTCACAAGCTGTAAGTTTATAACATCTTTCAAAATTAGAGTGAAACAAAATGAACAGGAACATTTGCAGAGTTCTAACTGCTGTTACATGCTTCTAGCCTGCTTCTCTTTCCTGTGCTCATTTTTTCCCTTTCTGCCTTTTTTTCCTTCTTTTCCGCTCCTTACAATTTATGGGTTTTGTGGTACGTACTCTGTTCTGCTTTGGTTTTGTAACTGTCAGTACATTCTCCACTCTGTTTTATGTTATGTCTGTGGTTCCCTCCTGCCCCGTCTTCTCATACTCTTCCTTTTCCCTGCTAGTTTCTGAGCTGCAGTCTCCTTCCACTCAGCTCTGTGTGCTAAAACATGGAGTCAAATTGACTAGAAATGCTGCCAGAGAGCACTTCAGAGAACAGAAGTCTAGCTACTTCCCATCTGCTGTTAGTATACTCGCAACTGGGGCAAAGAAAGTGGAAGCAGCACATACCAAAGAGGGCTGAAAATCCATGGCATGTATGGGTCAGTTTTTAAACTCTGTAATAAGGCAAGTGAGCATGAGATTTTAAATACATGTTTTTCCTTAATCTACTTGGAGGATTTTGGCACCAATTTGGAGCTAGTTTTGATCAACCTGAAATTGTATTTCTTCATGACTAAGTGACTGCAAAAGTGTGACAAGTAAATTATTCATCAAAGAAAGTTTCATTTCACTCTAGCTCCTATAACCGTAGCATCTTTGGAGGGATGGCTTGGTGGCTGAATTCAGGAGAGGATGTTCTTTCTCACCTGAGTGACTACGCTCACTAAGCTGGCCTGACAGGAGTTTGTGGTGCATGTTTGGCATATGAGGAAGGAGAGAGGGCTGCTGGACTGACCAGGAGCTGTTACTTCATCCAGAGAGCAGCTGGACTGGGCGGGGAGCCATGCTGGAGGGGTTTGATCCAGGCAGCAGCTGGACTGGGCCTGGCTGAGGGCCATGCTGGAGAGATTTGATCCAGAGAGCATCTGGACTCATTCAGGAGATTCAGACCAATCCCTCAGTGATAGAGATGGATGGTCTGGTTAATAGGAATTAGATTCCAGTTTGCAGTGGGTTTATGCCGCAGTATCCATGAGTATAGCAGAAGGACAGAACAGTCCCTCATTAAAATAGATTGTACAGGGGTTAGTGAATTTTAGGCTACGTTAGTATGTTGATGCATAAAACTAGGAACAATCTATTGGTGCAGACTTCCTGAAGTATGGTTCTCCTGAAGTACCCTGACAGTTTGAATAGCATTGCCGTGTTGCTAACAGCAATGTCCTTTCCTGCATAAGAGTGAGAAGATGTGCACGGATGTTAGGTTCAAGTCTGATCTCTTCATCAGTTTCACGCATTTTTCTGGAAAGCAAAGATTTTTCTCACCAACTTTGGTGGGAGGATCCAGGAAAGGAAAAAGAAAAAAACCTGGGCACTATGCTTTTTGAACTCTTCAGAACTGCAAGCTAATCTTTCTTCTTATCATGGTTTACTTTGCTGTTGGAGGCATATTTGTAACCAGACATCTCCTGAAGAATCTCTAAGGCCCTATTATTCTGTTGCCTCACGATATTGAAAGCTAATCTGCTCTTTTACTTTGAGTAATTCTTTTAAAAGGATGAAACTGAAGGATGAAAGGATGAAAAGCAGGGGATTGGTTCAGACTGTCATAGATATTTAGGCAGCTATTATGCACAGCAGTGTTTAATTAGATGGTGACCAGGCACCTAAAGTTCTCTGAAGATCTGTGTCTTAGTAAATAACCTTGAAGATGCAGTTTGTCTTTTACAGGACACTTCTTACCACTTTTTCTTGTTAAGTACTACATAACTCGAAAGATGTGACTGCCTCTACAGTGTGACTTCCAGTTTTTGTCTTTGGTTTATTTCATAGCCTACTGTGCCTGTTAGTAGGGTTTCTTACTTAAAAAAAAAGGTCATTGTTAGTAAGATTTCTCTGGTAGTCCCCAAATTTATTTGTGGAACTGGTATCATTTACACTGCAATACTATGTTTCTCTGGCAAATCCTCATGCCTATGCCTCATACCATCCTCTCAGTTTTTAAGCTGTAACTGCAAGTACAGCTTAAAATTGCTTAAACCAAGAGCACAACCAAAAGAAGTAGTCTTGCACTTGTCCCACCTTTAGACACTTGGCCCTCCCTCCCTCCCCATGTTTGTGCTGGCATGTTTGTATAATCACAGCGTTAATAGTAAAATAGAGGGTTCGGTACTGCTAGTGCTTATCAGGCAAAGGTGACATAATGAGAGGAGCTAGGTAGTCTTTTCGTTGTTATGAGGCCCAGGGTGTGCAATGTTAAGCTTGGGCAGAAATTCTAGCTCCTTTTGTACTGCCCAGGAATATATAGCAGATAAAGAATGCCAGCTCCTACGAGGGAAGTGAAAATAGTTTTCTCGAGCACTATTTATATATGCTTTATATACAAGTAATAACAAGGCAGCAGTACCCTGAAGAACTGACCACCACTACTCTGTTACTCTGTTTGTGTTGCCAATTTTAAGGCATTCACTTACTGTTTCCCTGTCTTACTCTCTGTCCTCACAGGTCCAAGGCAAGCACAGTGTAGAGACTGTTGGGGTAATTGAACAGTGAGAGGAAGTGATTGAGGACCTATGAGTAAACAAGTTAGTATTAATACAGTGTTCCATAGTGTTGGTTTCTCCAATTCCTCTCTTAGTAGCAGATCTTTATGCAGGCCTGGGGAATAAACAACTATACCTAATTAACTGTGCTACAGAGACCTGTACATTCTGTCTTCTGTCAAGATACTGCATTCTGGCAGGCAGCAGGGGAAGAAGAGACAGGTTATTACCACAGTCATGAACAGTAGCTTAGTATATTGCACAAATAATTTGTTACAGTTTAGATAGTCAGCACTGGTGGCCCCTTCACTAATTTTACTGCTCTCTTAGTATTTTTTCCCTTCATTCCCAAGTGATGCATGCAGACATATTTTAGGAGCACATTTCTAACACATGCCTCATGTATTGGTTCTGTCTAAATGAATAGGTGTTCAGTTGAAAGCTGCTGCCAGGACACATTTATGTTCTGACAGTGGTGAAAGGTTTCCCAGCCTCTTTCTGTTTACTTGATTCAAGTGAAACTGCTCTGTCATTCTGTCTATCGTGTACTATTGTAACATCATTTTAGTGTAAGTACCTTATTCTTTTCACTTTACCCACCATGAGACTCTGAATGTTGCTTGTCATGTTATCTGTCATGTGGGTTATGGATTTTATAAATAAAAAGTATCTGATGTTATGTATACCTGCACTGGAAGGTCCTCCAAATAGTTTCAAAATGCAGCTTGTCTCAAAGACCTGATTTAGCATTCCTTAGATAAGCAAAACCTCCATGGGAACTTGAACAAGGATAGTAGGATCAGTCTCTTTCACAGTTACTGTGATTAATGTTACAAGACAAATTCTTACTCCTATGGTTTGATAAAGCCATTTTTATAGTCCATTTCACCAAGCATTTAAATTGTGTATTGCCTTATTAATCAAGGTGTTGTGAACCTTAAAACCGTTGCTATGTTCTTATCATCTGATTAATTTGAAATAGTGTCAAAGATGGCACTTAAGAGCACCCTTCCTAGGGAAGTATGGATTACGGGTTTTTAATAGTATTCAAATAATAGACTATGAGATTCAAATATAAATTAGTCTCTTCAAGGGAGAGATTAAGACAGAAGGTGTTCACAATCTGGATAGTGTTGTTCAGTGCCACTTTGGTAGAAGGATATAAATGTGCAGTTTTGCATGCAGAAGTTACCCTTTTTAGCTGGAGATCCTCAGCTGGAACAGGGTTCAGAGGTCCTTGTGCTGCTTCAGGCAGACAAGAGCAGGAAGCCATAGAAAAAGTGCAACAACTGGTTCTGCTGGGCACTGAGTGAATAAAGCCAATGAATGGGATTTTTCCTTATGTTGTGTGGACTTAACTCTTGCTGAATTTAGGGGTGAAATTCTCGTTGCTTTCAGTGCTACCAGGCAGTCCAGTTCTTAACCCTTTTTGAAAATCTCACCCCACATTTTTTCAGTTGTTTCCAGCTGATTTTGTGGGAATTCTGGAAGATTGACCTTTCAGTCCTGGGCATATCTTTATGTTATAATATAATTCACAGCACTATATTTCTTTTTTTCCATCTGCTTCCCCCCCCATCCTTTTTTCATCCATCTTATGTCCATCCATTTTCCTACTCTGATAACTGTTTGAGGTTGAGTTTGGTTTTGTTTTTAAAGGGCTTCCCTTTTCTTTCCCTCCCTGTATCACTGCTCCCTCAGAACCCCATGTTAACTGAGGTACCTGTCTGTCCAGTGATTCCCTGCACTAAGACTCCCTATAGTCTCAGGACTGAATGCTACAGGTGCAGCAAAAGGGACTGTGGACTTCCCATATATTTTTTCTATTTCTTATTCTAACGATGGGTGCAATCCTTGTTTTAAAGAATTTTACAGTTTAAGGAATTGCTGTCTTCCTGAGAGCAAGATGTAGAATAACACCGTGCTGATAAATACGGCACATAGTCTTAATCTACTGTGGATTTATTAAAGTACAGATGGTGTACTTTCTGAGTTCCTAGAATTACCATAGGAAGTATGTGGTCCTCAAGCCATTTGTATATGATTTAAAAAAACCACCTGTTTTTCAGATTTAGGCCAGTGAGGTTGGTTTTGAAACATCTCAACCCAAAAGGAAATGCAGCAGGAATTTCCCTATTTCATCAGGTTTATGAGTTCAAGCCAACAGGACATAACATGGTTTCCACTTCAAGTTCTCATCTAGCTTAAGAGTTTGCAAATTTAGTTGAATGTAGCCTGATATCTGCATTGTTAGGCATGTTATCAGATGTCATTGCAGGAGTTCTAGTGCAGTTCTAAGTATTGAACGAAGACTGTCATCCATTAGGTCAGGTAAATTCCTTTAGTGATAAATGTTGCCTAGCATAATTGTCCTAAGTGATGAGAAATCTAATCTGAGTCTGATGTCTGCACAACTCTACAATGAATAATGCAGAAGTCTGGACTGCCCCTTGCACACCCCTCTTATCTGAATGCAAAAATCTTTCACTCCTGTGAAGCAGAGGCCTCTCTGACAGTGAAACAGAAATTCAGAAATTTAACTTTTACTAAAACGAGTCATTGTTTTGCATGTCTTGTTTTATTTTTTATCTTTTTGCACCATATAAAGAGCATTGAGTAAATTTTGTGTGGAAAAAGTCACAGAAGAAGCACTTTGGTGATCTGTCTTAATGTCTGCATTATATAGATAAAGAATTTGGATTAAAATTTGTGTCTGGCTTTCCCCATAGCTGTGCCATTTTCCCCAATCTTTACATGTGTCATGGAAAGGGAAGGAAAGACTCCTTATTCCTTTTTTCTCCCCTTGATGGCTGTAAAAGTGATTGTCAGGATTTAATGACAAAATAGAACAGGCATTTATTTTGCTCATTCTTTTTTATCTGACTTCTTCCGTTTTGAATTTTTCAAGTCTTGAAAATGTGTGCATAAAAAGCAATTACATATTAAAAAAATGAGGCAACTTGCTTCAGTTGATCTTAGTGCTATGAATCTAAAAAGACTAAAAGTCTGTTGAGTAAAGCTTGTATTTGGTTGAGAGAATATTTATTCACTGCCCTGCTGATCTCAGGACATAAATTAATAGGAAGCTGTAAGGACCTTGTAATGATTCTCTGCACACAGTTGAAACCTACTTGTGAAAGAATGTTGGTTCCCCAACAATGCCTGCAAACGCACCTCGCAGTGAGCTGATCAGACCTAACCGCCCACCCTGACTTGGTCTTCCTGGCAGGCTTCATGTGTTAAAGAAGTTCTCCCCTGTGGCTCAGAAGGGCTGGGGCCGCTTCTCAAATCAGCATCCAGCATCTTGATTTTTAGTTGTAATGGAAGACTTATTTGCAGCAGTAACATGCATGATATCAATAGGCCTTTTTTTAAGGTGCTGTTTATGCAGCTAAGCTGTGCCTGTAGCCATTTCTCTTACTTTAAGCTGCAGCTGCAGAAGAATTATTTGAGCTTACTGAGTTAAAGAAGCAAGAGAGAGGAAACATGATTTAGTGCTAACTAAATTTGTTTGGGAACTGATGTTGGGTTCTTTTGTGAAAGGGCCCACCTGGTTCTTCAGTGTAGACAAAACCATTCAGACCAAGCTGCCACAAACCTGTGTGTATAAATGTTGTAGGCAGAATATTTGCTGGCACTTACTATGTAAGTTCTGCTGAGGTATTTGCTCTGAACTGTGTGCTCTGAGAGCTGTCTGCGCTCACGTTTGTATGTCGCTCCTTGAAAAAGAATTTGGTAAGGAGCTGTATGCAAAATCGGCCAAGGAGCTCTCAGTAGGTAGTGCCAGCTGTTACTATCTATTAAAGTCACCGCAGAACTGAAAGGACAGAGGTTTATGTTGTGTTGTCTTACCATTGCCATCAACCAGGGGCATCCAGACTGCTTACTTCCTTAGGGGCACTAAGTGTATACTGGGAAGAAGTTCCTGATGGTGGAAAGAAAGGGAGAGAGCTGATCTCTCTCCTCTGCAGCCTGCATCCTGTGTGAGTTGCTCCTGTGCAGTGACTGATTCACTAAAAAATTCATGGGCAATGGAAAGAGAAGGAAAGGCGCTTTGTTCCTTTTCCTCCCGTCATAGCTATGAACATGCCAGTCAGTTCAGTGGCAAAATAAACAAGCATTTATTCTGCTCTTTCTTCTTCAGTCAGTCATCTTCTCATTTGAATTAAGGTTTTAGTTGTTTAAGAAGAGAAGGCTCAGGGGAGACCTTATCAATATCTGAAGGGAGGGTGCAAAGAGGATGGAGCCCGGTTCTTCTTAGTGGTGCCCAGTGACAGGACCAGAGGCAATGGGCACAAACTGAAACACAGGAGGTTTTCTTTGAACATCAGGAAACATTTTCACTGTGAGGGTGAATGAGCACTTAGATGGTTGTCCAGGAGGTTGTGGAGTCTTCACCCTTGGAGATATTCAAAAGCCACTGAACGCAGTCCTGGGCAACTGGCTGTAGGTGGCCCTGCTTGAGCAAGAGGTGGAGAAGATGACCTCCAGAGGTGCCTTTCAACCTCAGCCACTCTGTGATTCCATGACTTGAAATGGTATCTTTTCCAAGTAAGATCTTCAAAATCAGCTTGTCAGAAATCTTGTTGCTAAGTGGTCTCCATGTTTTAACAGGTGAAGGCAATGGAGTTTTGGTCCTTGTTGGTAAAAGGAATGATGGTTCAGAAGCAGAGCACGTTGTGTACAAAGCAGGAAGACCCTTTCTCTTTGAGTGCCTCTGTATAGAGATGGCTCAGTTGTTCTGTGTTTCTAAGAATAGCATGGGTTCTGTTCACTGCTGCAGCTCACACCCAGGGGTGAATGACACAGCATCTACGTCTTCTGTATTTCTAGTTCTGGTTTGGACAAGTAGGTTGCAGTGTCCAAGTGCTCCAGAAGTAGTAAATCAGTGGAAAGAACCCAAAAGGAACAGGGCAGGGGGGAGAGGGGAAGATATTGAGGAGCAAGGAAAATAAAAATGCTGGAGAAAAAAACCTTCATGGTAAATGACAGTATGCACAGCAGAAGGTTGATGATGGAAGAGGGTGATTGTATGAGATTGAACCTAGATACAGGGTGAACTGAGGTGAATGGAATAAGACCTTGGTATCTCAGTCATTTACTAATTTACAGCTCAATCTTCTACTGGGACTGCCAGAGCAAGAGGACCACACAGGAGCTTGGTGAAGATAAGACAACAGGAATTAAAGATCACTGTCTGGCACTTGCCTTGGTTCCTTTTACAAATATTTATTCTCATTGTGTAAATAAAGAATAAACAAGGGAGGAAGCATTAAGCTCAAGTCAATAAGTTAAGGTCCAAGTAGAAAGATCCACTTCACCTGTGGTGTTTCCTGTACATATTATATTGGCTCTGAATACTGCACTTCATCAACAACTTTAGCAAATCACATTTGCTAAATATTTCACTGGTGAATATTTTAAGTATCTTCAAACATAATGTTCAAGAGGCTTCCCATTTAATTTATTTTTTTAAATTACATTTTCTAATTACAGTGTAAAGCAGAAAATAAAATTCAGACTATGAAATAGGGTTACATTAAAGAATCAAATATTTTGTAGACACAAGCAGCAAACTCCCCTTTTATACAAGAGCTTCACAATAGAAGTCAATAAGATTTCTTTGGTAATGTTTTCAGCTAAATCAACAGTTATTAATCTTATTGTCATAGCAAAGTAAATGTGACAGCGTTGTCAGAATATGTTCTCTCTTTTAAAGTTTGTTGTTTTCTCCCCCCCCCCCCCCACCAGAAAACCCGTTAATAAAAATGGAATTTACCAGTTCGAACAGGCTTCAAAATGTAAGGCAATTCAGGACAACATTTTGTCATCATCTATCAAGAAGAAAAGGTAGGTGTTTGCTGTGCTTTCTGCTTTGTTTGTTTTAAATAGAAGGGTAAAAGATTGTCCTCTTTTACATAATTCTGAATTATATTAATGTGGAGCTATACAACAGGAAACTGAAATTGTTCAACCAATGTTTGCCTGCATTTTGTCTTTCACGTGAATTAGATTTATTCAAGGTTGGATTTTATTTTTTTTATTTTCACAATATAAGTCAACAAGATTTCTCCTTGCCAGTTAGCAACATTTTATTCCAAGATATTCACAAAAAAGTTGAACAGAATCTCTGAGGTATAATTTCATTCTTGAGTGTCTTTTTCCTGATTGGTGAAAACTGCTATGAGCAACCTCAGTTAATGGATTCTTTTCAGCATATTCACTAGAGTAAGTATGGAAATGTACTAGTATAAAAACTTGCTAATTAATTGCACTCATTATAATAACTAGTTCGCAGGAAATTAATTGATTTTAGATATATTGAAAAAACACCCCAAATTAATTTGGAGTTTCAGCTTGCTGTTCTGCCTTTTCCTGACATGGAAAAAGAATCTTTGTTATCAGCTCTGCTCAAATTCCTTGCCACTTTCTAAAGTGAAAATGGGAGAAGCAGTCCATTGCTTTTGACATGTAACATTTTGCCTATATGGATGCACCAATAAATAAAACATTGTAAATAAGAAAGGCTTCCCATTAGGACCAAGTTCCAGCTTAAAATTATATGCCATGGTGTCTTTAAAATTGGAAGCTTCCCCCCCCCCATTTGTGAAGAGAAGAAATGGAATGAGAAACAAAAGCTCCACTAAAAATAATTATGTGCCTTTCCCCATTCAAAGGACTGGAGAAGTCAAATTTTTCCTTAATACAGAAACAATGTCAAATCATGGTTTTGAAACGTCTCCTGTCTTTTTTGCCCCCTCCTTGCTTTCTCATTGAGTTTTAAGATCTTTCACCTGTTTTTAAGTCACCATGTTCCCAGCATTCTGTCTTTACTCTTTTAATTCTTTCTTTTTTTTCTCCTCTATAACTTCTTCTCCCACAAATATTCCACCTCATCAGCAACACTATCATTGAAGTTTTACTCTTTTCAAAGGTGGTAGACTACTACGTTACTGATGCACAGCTAGTGAGAGCTGAAACAGAGACTGGCAAACAGAGGTCAAAGAATACAGTTGACTGAAAAATTGAGTGATTAACACCAAGAGAAGGACAACAAGTCACTGCATTGCCTCCAAAATCCAGTTATGGCAATATAAATGCCATTCTTTATCCTGTGTGTTACGAAGCTGTGCAGGCTGCAGTAATACAGACATGCTTTTCATACCTAGAATGTTTTGGAACTGAGCTTGTAGGAGAAACTTTAGGAAGTGCGAGACCTTTATTCTGTGGCTAAAGAGAAAGGAGCTGCACCATTTAATGAGACAGAAGATGAATTGGGCAGGTAGGAGGAGAAACTGATGCTTGGAACAAAGGAGCAAGGAAGGGATTGCTTTATACCGTGAATATTGTAACTCATTGCCCTTCACTGACAGGAGCTGCAGGGATCTTTGTTGCTTTTTGAAAGTGTGACCCAGAGACATGGTATATAAATGCTTTATATTGCAGTTCTAGGCTTTCGGGGACATTCTGGACACTCTTCCCTCTTAAGTTGGCAGAAAGGGAAAAAAATTACTAGTTTAAAGCTTGTCAAATTATTTGATAGTAAAAAATGCTATGTAAGTGGGATGTAATTATTATAGCAGGTATGTGCTGGTGGTGATAAAGAGTCTGAAATGCTGAGTTTTGCTGGTATTTTTCCATTTTTATTCTAGAGCAAGTCCTACGGGCACTCTCCTGAGGGCTTTAAAAACCAGTAGTTGTTTTGGTAGTATTAAAGTGTCCAAAAGCAAAAGGGATCATCCTTTTCTCTTGCATTTCCTGCCATTGTTTTTCTTTTTATTTGTTTCTTTCTTGAACATAAGCTGCCAGGTAGGAATATCTCCTTTTTTCACTCCTGCTGCCCAATTTTCCTTCTAATTCAAATAGCTTTTTTTTCAAGTAGGTGTTTAGTTTTAGCAAGTAACTAGTGGGCCTTCATCTGTCTCTCTATTCTGACATTTTACCTGTTGTCTCCCTACTATCTCAACACTTCTGTCCTTACTGTTGTCCTTTAGATATCTGCCAAAAATTAGAAGATACTTCTACTTTGTCAATGCCTCAACTGTGCATAATAGTTCCACCTTAGCCACTGCAGTTAATGTAGAAGGTCACTGCATACCTGACAAGTACTATAGGCAAAAAATGACACCTTCCACCTGTTATTTGTCAGCAAGGCTCATGCAGTATAAGTCAGTTTCCTACAACAGCATGTTATTATAATGGTTGTGGTACAGGTGGCAGCCAAAAACAGGACAAAACATGTTTCATTCACTATTCTCAGCACTGTAATTATTGTCTTGTCCATGTATTTTTATAGTTAATTTAGCTGAGCTTTTTTATCTTAATAATAAAATCCTTTTAGGATCAGTGAATATGTGCTGTAAGCGCCTGGGTGCCAGTGGAAATATATATACTGTCCCAGCTCTTTAAAACGGAACAGTGGAGAAGAGGACTGTCTGGGTTACAGGAGAGCCATGAAATGATATTCTGATGGCCTTCTGGACTGATTCCATTGGAGGAGTGAGTCCCTAAGGCTTCTTTAAAGCAGGAAATGCTAAAATAGGCTTTTTGAGAGGAAAACAAAGCTTTCTGGGCTGTAAACCCAGCTGCAGCAAATCCCAGAGCTTCACTTTGAGTCTTTAAAAAAATTAATCTGTGGGAATATTGTCTGTATTCAAGTAGAGTTTGTTTCATGGAAGCCTTGTATCGGTGCAAGCAGATGTGGCAGCTGCCTTGCAGAGCTGCCGGAGCCGGGAGCTCCTGTCCCCCAGGACGTGCTGCTGGGATGTCTCCACCGCTTGCGGTGCTGTGCCAGCGCTGGCAAAGATGAGTTCTGACAGTCCGTAGTGTCTTTGTAAGTCACAAGAGGAGCAAAACTGGATGCATAGGGCAAGCAGAGGTGTTGTTTTCCCTTGTAAAGACCTGTAAGTGGTGGTTTTGTGGGTGATCTGGTGAGCTTAGACACCTCTGAGCAAGAGTGATTCCATCCAGTAGACAGCATTGGAAAGGCAGCAATGTTCTTGCATTGTAATTGGTGTTTTTACCCTAAGTGCAGCTTCTGTTACATGTATAAGAAGGTCCTCACAGTTTCTGACAGTGAGTGCCTGTGTTTCTCATGGGGCCTCAGAACTAGCATTAATGGATGATGCGTCAATTTTTCTCCTTACCAAATGTTTCCCTGTAACTTGCTAATAATTTGTCAGTCTATGCAATTTCTTTCTGAGCTGATGGTAATTTTTCTTTTCATTTCTGACTCTGATCTTCATCTTTTCAATGTCTTTAGGCTAGAATTTGCTTTTTCTATATTTTTTCTCCTGGATAAAGATAGCCTAAGTAACTCTTCATGCCCTGTTATCCTATTATTTTTTGGAGTTTTCCATAAGTCCCAGCATCTAAGGGTTATTTATTGTTTAGCCTTAAGGAGTAAAACTAGATGAGTGATTCAACATCAGCATAGGCTATTTCAGTCCTGTGCTTCTATCCCATCCTCCCTTTACACTCACTCCCTGTCCTGCCCTGTGCTGGTACTGACACTTGTCTGACCCCATGATGAGCCAATTTAGGTAGCAGCTTCAGCAAGAAAGTAGTTCCTTTTTCTCTGGCTGCAGTTCCAAGGCTGCTAATACAACATACCAGCAGGCAGCTGCCAAAATAAGAAGGCCTTGTTCCCAGTTTCTCTGCTTCCATCACTCCTTGCTTATACTGGCTGTGGCATTTGTTGGAATCTTTCCTGATCTAGTTTAACATACTAAAGACGAAGAAAATGCATATGCTTGTTTTTTTCCTTCTGGGTTATTTTTTTGCCATGGCAGTAAATTAAAGTGGCCTATGAAGGCATTTGATAAGTGCAAAAGCTGGGAAGAACAAAACAGAAGTCAAGTAAGTACCAGCAGTGGCACAAGGGAGAGGACAGATTTGGAGTTGGACTGGAAGGAGGGAGAATGTACTGCACCAGGTCAGATCAGCTACAGCTGCAGTGAAACTACTTTCGCTCTTCTCCCACTTCTGCCCATTCATTCCTGCTCTCTTGAGTTGTGCAAGGGCTCAGTAAAATCAGTTTAGTCACAATCATCTAGTTCCTTTAAGAGTTTGCTAAGTCTGGAGAATTAAGGTTGTATATGTTGTCACAAGTGCAAACTTGAGCCAAAGACTAGTTCTAATGCAATATTTCTCTTAAAAGTTTCAGTTCTTTTTCCATATAGAAATGGGACCTGATTTTACTCAGGGGTATATAAACAAGTTAACTTTAGCAGTTGCAGTACTTTTATGAAGCAAACAAAAAGTGGGATCTGTTTTTTCAAATGTTTACCATAAAGCTATGGTACTAAAAGCATGTTGAACACAGAGAGCAAAAGAAGCTTTTGGCTTGTTGACCTCTGCTGCTGCAAGCTGCCACAGCCTTTTTTATATTCCTTTTTATCAATTCTCATGCTCCATTTAAAAACAAGAGACATTTCTTGCCATCCCAACTCTTGTAAAACTGTTCAAAATACACACTTCTAAGTTCCAGCTAAAATAAACCCATGATCATTTGGTTTTGGGCCAATGCTAAGCCATTTTTGCTAAAATAATACAAGGTAGATCTTTTCTGGAGACGTGAGTTTGTAGTCATGGCATCCATATCATCTCTTCTTCCCATTCCCCCAGCCCTCCTCATAAGTCAGAGTTAGTGTTTTTTAAAAGCCCATATTAGGATCCAAGCACAAATGGGAGAAGTATTAACATTGAACCGGTAAGGGAAGAAATGTCTCCGTTCTTTTGACTTCCATGTTCTGAAGTATTTCACATATGGACAAATTTAAATCTCTTGAAAGGGTTTAAAAGGAGCAGAAAGCTCTTTGGTTACATGTACCAATGTAACCAAAGTGCTAGTTGATGTAAAACAACAGATTGTTTTATTTAAGAGATAATGTGAAGGAAAACTTACATCTGTAAATATTGGTCTGTGGTCTTAGCTGATTGAACTGAGCTTTGGGGACTTTATAAGGTAAATAAAAGAAAAGGCCTAAGACGTGTAATGTTTCATCTTGGCTTGCAAGAGTGACATTTCAAACATTTTTGTAGTTTAAAACACCAAATACGAGAGGTTTTTTGTATTATTTTGGACTTTTGCACTTGAGGTGATTTCTAGTAATTTCAAGATATTTATGGTCAAATATTTAAGTTTGAAACCAGTGTACTTTTGAAAGTTTCTGAAAAGAAAAGTTCATTAGGACATCACTATTAGGAAGAGATGTTTAATAGGCCATGCTAATTAAATGAGGATAGTACTGTTACAAATTACAAAAATAAAATAGGTCATGGAGTTCTAAAAGCAATCTATTATATATGCACCATGCACATTATTATTAACACATGCATCATTTGAATGTTTTAGAGACTGTTTCTAAATATACATACATATATATTCTAGTGTTTGATGTTATTGCCTTTTTTTAGATATTCAGAAGATTATTATCTTCACATAGTCACAAAACTGCAGAACTGCACCTGGATAAGGAGACCAGAAGAATCTACAAAGTTCAGGTAATTTTCATTGTCTCATTTAGAAAAACTGTTTACCCTCAATTTGTCTAACAAGCCATAAGTTTAAATCTTCCCTTTTGAAAAGATAATTTTGTATTACTTTTAGACTGCATTCATAGCTATACATTTCTATTAATCTTTTGATGCTGGGACTCCTCCTGTTTATTTGAATTCAACTGTGCAAACTGAGTAGGATAAAAGAACTACAGAAATGAAGTAATTTCACCTGTATCCACTGTAATGAATAGCTAACTAACTTAAGTAGAATGGATTAAAATATTCCTGACGCAAAACCTACAGTAGTAAAAAAAAAAAAATCACTAATGTAATTTTGTCCATCTGATCTGGCACTCATAAAAGAATGTGTAATGAAGCAGTGTATTTTTTACCCCAAGACTATTGCTTCTGTTACAGAAGTGCCCAAGGCACTCATTAGGTTTGACGCTGCATGTCATGGCCCCTGAGCGTGTAAGCACGTGATTACATCTGTCCTTGTTCGGGATGGCACATAAGTACATGCTCAGTAGGGACAGTGATCCCTGAAAAGCTTCCACTCGCTTCCACTCTCATTTGGAAATGTATCATGCTGGTTTTAGAGAACAGCTTCACTGTGCCAACCCTATTTTCTCCGGGGGAAAATACTGTCTTGAATTACATTATTACATGTATCAGAATTAAAGATTCTCTCATAATCATTAAAAATAAATAAACTGACATACCTTCCGACTCTTTGGAGTTAACTAGCATTGAAAACTTAATATCTACATGCTCAGCATGATACCCTTGGAAAAAGTAGTTGCGGGGTGGGGACAGGTAAAGCTTTTTGTGCAACATTGCTGTGTTTGCTGTGTATCATAAATGACTAATGGTTTTTCCCAAAGCTGAGGTAGAATACATAAAGTTAACGTTTAAAAAACTTTCAATTAACTGAGGTAGGCTTTGGCTGTGCACAGAGATACCAGAGCATGATAAGAAGCTGTAGAAGCAGCCCAGTCTGTTTCAGAACAGGCAGATGTCTTATACAGACTCCACAAGAGGTAAAGCTGCTCTCATCTGCTCATCACCCTGCTACATTTAGGCTTTTTGTTTTCCAACCTTATTTTAAAATTCTCTTCCTTCCGAATGGACCAGCCACCACTTACCAGCAATTTGCCTCTTCTTCTGCTGTGCTACGTGTATGAGTCAGTGGCAGAGTAACCACTCCTTGTTCCAGCTTCATTTATTGCTTCTGCAATCTCCCTTCCACTGGGCCAACTTCTTCTACGTCTTCTAGGCCTACAGGAATCAAACAAGACACCGTCTATCTCATCATATGAGACTGTTGGACTTTAAGTACAAGATTCCTACTGTTCCTCTTGCTGTCTTTGCCTTCCAGCAAGGAGTGTGGGTCATAAGTAGCTGAGGTTTGTTATACCACCAATGATCAGACTGGAAATATTCAAAAGTGGAAACTGTGGGGTGCACTAAGCCACCTAGAAAATGTGGACTGTATGTACATTGAGGTGAACTTACTAGCTTTAACTTAGCTCAAATACCAAGTGAAAAAAATCCTTTGAAAGCCATGGTTCAGCACAGGCTGGATAAACTCTTGTTACTTAATCGACATTCAAGGGCTGCACTGTTATGGTTTCATTGCTTTTTAATATCCAAACTAGCTAGAGTATTAGCTAGTTCATATGTACACAACCCATGCTGCAATTCTGATGACAGTACTGTGTATTCTTCTGTCCCTATGAAATCTGATCTGTTTTGATATCATCCAAAAATTCTATTGATATGACCAAGGACTGGTACTTTGGTTTAGGGCATTGCAGATTATTATTTTACAAAATACGTGTGCTTTTGCATAAGTCTTTTCTTTCTTTTTCCATTCTCTCCAACTCCTCTTCTCTCTGTTGTTCTATGGAAATATGATATTAAAATTTTACAGTTGTCCTTGCTCCCAGACCATACTGGAGACTTTCAAGGCTCTTAGCAGTTGGTCAATAGAGGCTTTAAAAAAAAAAGATTAAAAGAAGGGAAAAACAAACTCGGTGTAAAATTTACTGACTAAATCTGTATACAGTCCATGCTTACAACAGTCCCAAACTTATTTATCAGACTTAAGCACAAGAGCTTGGAACTAGCTTTGCAAGGACACTCTAGCTGAGAAATGATGCATTGACAGAGCTCTATGAGGAACAATGCTTCTAGAAATGCGGTGAAATAAATGAATTAATAATCCCTTGGCAGTACATCTCTTCCTTTTTCTAACTTTGCCTAGTGTCAGTAATGCATAATAATTGTGTAATACAAATATTATTCAGTTCTAAAAATCTCATTAAGTAGGTAGATAAACACACCCATTTTGCAGAAGAGGAAATTAATCTCAGATGGGCTGTGCAGCAGGAATTGGGTAATACAGCCAGCCACCTTCAGGACGAGAGCTTGAAGCTGCCTGTGTCGTATTATTCACCTGCCAGTGGCACCAGAAGTCTGCCTGCTGACTAGACTGCAGAGAAGCTGCTTGACTTCTTTCCCTGTTTGCCCATCTGTTAAATGGGGTGAACACTTAACATGCTTTTCAGGTGTGGTGTCAATTGTATAACATCTCTTTATTATCCTGAAGTTCTGAAGAACAGGCATGCATATTTATAAGGGATTTAATGTCTTATGCTTCAGGGCATAAACTAACCTCTAATTAATAAGGTTCAAAAGTAGCTTCCCATGGGGTAGTGAATTTTTCAGAGAAGCTTTCTTATGTTTTCCTCTGCAGCTTTTGCAGTTGGCTACCGTCATACTGGTAGTGGAGTAAAGGAATATGTGATCTGAGCCAGTAACTCTTGTGTTCCTAGAAGACAGCACTGTGTGCCAATGAGTACACATCAATTCTCTTTGTAAGCTGCACTCCCAGCAGATCCAGTCCAAATAAAAGAATATGAATTAGAAGTGCAATGCAGGAAAGAAATACTTGTCTTTGTATTTGGCAAAAGGGTTACAGCTGACAGCCACGCGTGGCACAAACCACAGTATTTTTGCCAACCCATTGTACAAAAAGCAGAATGCAGGATTCCAGGCTGGCCCTCTACTACCTAGCTCAGCTTTGCCATCCAGCTGTGCAAACTGTGTCCATTTGTTGTCAGAGAACTGCCCTTTTCCAGATGGCTTCCTCTAAAGCTGCTCTGCAGGCTCCCATGTGCTTGGCTAGATTGCTGTCTGGCAGTGGTCAGAGGTTCTTGACAGCTACGTGATGTTTACGCATGCGTTTCTCAAAATCAAGAAGAATCATGAGGCAAGTACAAGCCATGGTGTTCTCTTTAATACCTCCCATATCTACAGTCACTCTTCTCTGGCAGATTTTTGTCCAGCCTCTGTTGGGGAACCAGTCTCCTGGCCCTTCACTTATTTCAGTACCTGTAATGCTGACATCAGCTCTGTGAGATTCAGGCTGCCCTCAGAGGAGCAAGTGCAAGCACTTGGTTCATTACTCTTGCAATGTAGTTAAGATTTGTTGTGCCCCACAGTAGTGTTTATCAGCCATTGCTAAAGAGGTTTTATCTACCTTCACAACAGAAGCTAGCAAAGGGGATGTACCTATACCAGAAGTGGTGTAAATGACATCCTACTAACAGTGATTTAGGGAAAGTCTTCTCCAAGGTTTACTGCTACTGACATATAGTAAACTATTAAGTTTTTTTTCTTCAGAACCTTTCCTTTATGAAATTCAGCTGTGCTTCTCTTGTTCTTTTTTTATTTCTCGTGTTCTTTATGGTTCTACAATCATCTAGCATCTCCACATTATCCCTTTGTTTCTAAGCCCACCTTCACTTTTCAGATTTATATCAGCTCTAACTTGTTTTAGACAAAGCAAGTCCTCAGATTTCTTGGTTATAAGAGAGGATTGGTAGAAACCTGGAAAGGGAGGGGAAATAATCTTGCAGCTGCCTGGAAGCATCATTCTTAAAGTTCCAGAAAAAAGCTCTGCTGGGTAGCTTCCTCAGCAAAGGCTCTTCTAGCTACAGTCAGTAGAGTCTCAGGTTCCCTAGGTAACCTGAATATTAATTATTATATTAGTATTCTTCAAAGGTTTTCCACTTAAAAGAAATGTTTCATTAGTGCAACAAATTACAGAGCCCAATTGGGTGCAAGCTGTAATTGTTTTTTACACCTCCACATCTCTTTGCTCTACAGACTTTTAAGCTTGATTTATTCTCATTTGGGCTATATACCCATGATGGCAAATAATCTGCAGGTTTTCCAAATAGTTGCAACTCCTGTTTTTGCTGGAAGCTAACAAATAGCTAAAAGAGCCCTCAAAATGACCGGGGAGGGCAGGGGGGGGAAGGATATGGAGAAAGGCTGAGCAGATGCTGTGTTTCAGAGAAGCCTCTGGGCATTGTATTTCTGGGCTATCTTGCTGAGCTTGGAGCCTGGCAAAGCAATGCAACAGTTCTTCAGGAGTGGTATCACACTGGAATAGCCCTATGTGAGCTGTAGATACTGGGCCCCCTACCCATGGAAATACCATTCCTGAAAAATCTTATTTGCATCTGATGATGAAGGGAGAAGGAAATTCCTAGCTGTAAAATATAGTTTTAAACCCCCTAACGTTACACTGCAGTTTAGCTGGCACACTGCTCCACCCCACCAAAATATTTTAAACATTTTTTAAAAGAAAACATTACTACTTTAAAAAAAAGAACCCTAGGTCTTGAAAAGAATAGTTAAAAGATCAACCCATTTTCCTAGTCCTGTAATTTCCCCTCCTGCTTTTTATTCCACTCGACCTCTATTACCCTTTTCCCATTTTAATATCTCTTCTGAAAAGTGTGTGTAAACATTCCTGCAGATTATAAAATCACACTCCTTCTTGAAGAGATTAATTTGTAGTGTGCTACACTCTAACTTATATAACAGTATTGTTTAACACATCTATGTGCTGCAATGAACCACAGTTGAAACACAAATAAAATACCCTGCAAGGTCAATTTGTGCTTACGTAAGCTCACACTGCCACATAA